ATGTAGTACCAATATATATAATATCAAAGCAATTGGACTTGAGGTTTTTAACAAGAAGTCGAAAATATCACTTTTTACCAAAAATGACAAAAATATTCACCAAAATTAGAGAATTGAAGATATCATCATGAAATGAACAAATCTGAGAGAGGTCTACCCAAGGTACATATACACGAAGTATCAAAGCATTCAGGCTTGTAGTTTTCAAGAAGAAGTCGAAAAAGAAAAACATTGACACGGACGACGGACGACGACGACGGACGACGACGACGGACGACGACGGACAATCACTCATATGATAAGCTCCGCTTGACAAAGTCGACAGCGGAGCTAAAAACTTGTGTTTACAATTTTGAACTGTAATTTTCCTGAGCAAATATTTGAGTTACGCAATAATTATTGTCAGTCGATATCACTCATGAAAATAACAAACTGGTTTGTTTTTTTGGATATTTCATTTTGCTATTTCTAAACCTGATATAAATTATTAGCCCACAGATACATGTACTAGACAAAAAGAGACTCCCAATATTAAACTAAAACCAGTGAGAAAGCACTTATTAAATTTATAGCTATAGTGAAATTTGTCGCATTCCCACTGACATATCAGATTAGTATCAGTTGACATCTGAAGGACAGTAAATTCAATTTGGTTACTTGTATACAGTAATAAAACGTTCTCAAAATTAATCAATCGATCAATCGCTACGTTAATCCACATGGGAAAATGTTAAATGGCACAATATTTATAAAATACCAACAAGTGAAAAACATTCAAGAATGAACAACAACATTGGCTGTTCCACGGTATTACGTATATATCATTATACGAAAGTATCTGCGAATGAGCTGTATGTACGCTCTACTAATAAAGATACAAATGTATTAGACAAATGCTCATATCGCTATAGTATGCAGTGTGAACATAGAAAATATTACCAGCATGTATGAATGAGTGGCAGATAACGTGTGAAATATGACAAATGCTCATATCATTATGATGAGCTGTTTGAAAAGTAACATATATGGCTAATGCCGAGAAGGTCCCCTGCAATCAACCCACACATTAACATGCAGGGGGGGGGGGGACAGACATCCCATTGACAGTAGTAAACTGTCTGCATCTTGCATCTGTTAAATATTCCAGTAGATCACTTTAAACTATCAAGTTTATTTTGTAGGCATGAGTGGAGTGTGCACAGGCACTTCACTACACATCGGTATCTCACACCATATACCAAGTCACACTTCAACCCTATAAAGTACATATCCGATTTCTTTTAATCTCTCACTTAAAAATATAAATCTTTGCGATTAAGGAGACCTTTGCACACTCTGCTCACCCAGCCACTGGTTTTTTTAAAAAGTGCAGACATACTTATCAAGGGAATAGTCTAAAGAATGTAATATGGGGTTTTAATGGGTGATAATAAAGTCAAATGTTCCAGCATGTGAATGGCATTATCTGAATGCAATGTAGAAAAACAGGAACCAGACCTTAAGCTCATCAACATTACTTTATTGCTATATGAAACACAAATGGGTAAAACTAGATGTAACCAGTTTATCAAGAACAATACCAGCATAGTTTCAGAGGAGAAATATTCATTCTTCAATTACTTTAAAAAAGACTTTCATGACCAGCTAACTCCCTTCAAATAATTCTTTTAAAGGCCAGCTAACTCCCTTCAGATACTGCAAAAACATTAATTATTCACTGGATTTTAATTTTGCTATTTTCGCTGATGAGTAAAATCCACTAATTAAATCTATGTAAACATGTAAAATAACAATAAAACTCATTGTTTCCTTGACAATGAATATGCTCAAAACATCAAAATAGTGAAATTAAATGTCAGTGAAAATAAATGGTTTTACAGTAATTTGTTTTTTAAAGGCCAGCTAACTCTCTTCAGATAATTTGTTTTAAAAGCCACCTAACTCACTTTAGATAATTTGTTTTAAAGGCCAGCTAACTCTCTTCAGATAATTTGTTTTAAATGCCACCTAACTCACTTCAGATACAGATCATTTGGGTTCTTTAGGTACTTTATTTTACAGGCCACCTAGGCCCATTAAGATTATTTCATTGTTTTGGTTCCTTAATTCAGATAATTGATTTGATTTACAGGCCATATAGGTTCCTTCAGATAATTTGTATAGAATAGAACAAAAGTATAAAATAGAAACCTGGCAAAAAAAAATTATTTTCACTGATTTTCGACAAGTTAAATGTAAAATATAGGAAAAAAAGAATATTCGCTTGATTTTATTTTCATTGAATCATTCTTTCAGAGAAAATTCCAAGTAAAAATAAAGTGTTTTACAGTACTATCCTGTGTTACCAAGTTCAAGCATCAGACAATGTCTGTACTTATTACATAGCTTATTCTTCACAAACTATACTTATCATGGATTAACAAATTCAAAACAGCTGTTTTACAACACAAATTAATCCTCATCAACAGCTTGCTATCTGCACATCGTGGGAGAATTTAGTTTGCTCTCATGCACAGCTCCTCTGCAAGAGCTAAGAGGTTAAAATGGTTAGCCTGTGCTAAGAAAACATGCATGAACGCTTAGAACAGGCTAAGAAACAGTAAATACAAGCTTAATCTGATTCATTTAAGATCTGGTCTAGACTCTTAGCTCAGGAATGAGTATTTAAAGGGGAACCGTTCAAATCATGGATTGCACCAAAGAATCATGGGACACTATTGTTTATGTTGTTTACAATGTTAATCTATCTTTTGTTATCCATTGTTATTTTAATCCAGAAGTAAATTTGTTGTGAAATTAAGCTTAACTAGGTAGTATAAAATTGGTTGCTCAAATTGCTAAGTACATCCATGATTGTTTTAATATTCGAGAAAACAACTTGAAAACAGAACTACCAGCTGCCTCAAAATAAATAAAAACATTTACTTTAATTTATTGCATTTTATTAATAACTTTGTTTTTTACTCTTCTCATTTTTGCCATTGCTATACCTTTATTGTATTTTATAATCAAAGTCCCATAGAGGATACAATAACAATAAATATTAATATTATTATAATGGAAACATAACTCCATTTGTATTAAGGGCTTGGTTCAATGTTATACCTGTTGTATCTGAGAACACATAAAATGTGTTTACCCTGTATGTGAGAAAATCAAGTTGAATTCAAGAATTAGAAGTAGACATATAAAGTTACTGAGATAATGTGACTGCAAATATGTCAATAGTTTTGACCCTTGAACTCTGAACTATAGAGGTCAAAAACTTATAACAACATAACAATTTTATATCATGCATATGTAATGTAAGAGTGTAACTACCATTGTACCAAGAAGTCCCTTGAATTAAAGGCCCTTGAATTAAAGGCACTTGAATTAAAGGCCCTTGAATTAAAGACCCTTGAATTAAAGGCCCTTGAATTGAAGGCCCAAGTCACTTGCCCTGGGCAAGTATGAATTGGAGGTGTGGCTATGCTAATGCATGGTATTAATCACTTGCATAGCTATGAC